ACCATAGTTTGTATACACATAGGTACATAAAAGGGGTAAATGCAATCATAACACCCGCGTGGGCCCCGATGAGCATGTTATTGGTACACACGTGACTTTTAGGGTTGTTGCGCGGGTCAATAAGTGAATTCAAGTTCGAACCCGATTATTCTATGCGGATCAATAGGAGTCGATAGGGTTCGAACCATCAAATAAATATACGGTAGTGGCGACCGATATATTTGTCTTAATATATTCATATTAGACCTTCAATGCCTATAGCAATAAAAATTCACTAATAAAGGCATGAAGCCTACGAAACTCGATCCTCTGCTGGCAAATGGGTAGAGTCGACAAGGTTTAATCCATAAATGGAAATGACCCTGAATACCCCGTTGATGGCCGTGTTGAATTCAAATATCAACCGGAGGGGATCATATACTTTTAAATGCCCTCAAACTTCCCAAGATTCAAATATTTTCAAGCGACCTCAAGGTCATCCTGATGATGGCCGTGTTGAACAAAAATCTCAACCAGAGGGGTCTATTTCAAATATTTCAAAATCCAAAACTCCACCAAGTACATAAAAATCCACAAATCCAAAAAATCATCCATTCCAAAATATTTAAAATTGAAATAAATTCATCAACCACTTAAAGCAAAATACATCAACCCTCCACAACAGTTTGCCGAGGTTGACAAATTCAAATATAACTTCAGCTCACATAGAGCCAAATGTCTAGCGAAAATATCATTATGATCCATTCTCAAACAATTTCCTGCCATTAAAGACGTGGTACGTTTCCTTTAACTGGCAATTTTGCTGCCAAATGGCATCGTAGGATAAACGGTTATGACTCGGGGCTCTCTGAACTGAGTGGTTTTGCCACCAAATGGCTCCACGAAATACCGATTATGTCTAGAGCCAATGCGTTCCTTAGTGGCATCAAATCCTTGAGATATGAATTAATAGGATATAATCGATAGGGCATAAAGCCCTCTGTTAGCTAAGATGGATTCAAATTTGTTCCCTTAGACAAGCATTCACCCCAGGTCTACAAGGTCCCCTTGGACGAAGCAACTTATGGCTGCCGACAAGGATCCTTCTGTTAGGTTTGGTCGACTACCTCCTCTGATTAAGTAGACCAGGGACCACGATGGCCCGGGATGATGGAACCATGAGATCTTAATCGGGTCTATCATCCATTCCCCCACCACTATCTGCTTTAAGTATAAGGTGATGAAATTTTCAATTTTAAATATCAAACTTTCCAAATCCCCAAATTCAAATCCATGCTGCTACTATATGCTATATGCTACATATCTCTACGTATCTGATTGACGACTAGCCTTAATCGAAAGTTCTCTCTTGTGATCGGGAGGGGTAATTAACTATAGGGGCTTGCGCCTATAGGAAACCAGAACTCAGATTATAAAGTCCTCGCAAAATGAGGGCGAAATCTCTAGGTAGTGTCTTATCTACAAACCCATCTGCCTTTCAAAATTTACCCCGGAACTTATTCCGTTAAAACTCCCTCCGAAAAGAAAAACAGTCAGGCGGAGGCCGGGGCCGAATTTTCAGAGCCCACATTAATGCACTTAATATAGGAAAAGAGCAAGGTGGAAACCGAACAACCAGCAGTAGGAACCAGAAGCTTGCTTGGGAAAGCCAAGAGCCTGCATGGGGAAAACCAGTAGCTGGGAAAAATAAAACATCAAGAAATATGTGCAACCACAATAGGGAAAATGAAGCAACCACAGCAGGGAATGCGAGTACACAGCAACCAAAATGAAGAGGATAATAGGGAATGCAAAAAAGTAGGTGGGAAATTGAGAAGCGAACATGGAAAACGAAGGGACAACTTAAAAATGAGAAGTTCAGGAGAGAGAAAACAAGAAACATAAGTAGAAAATAATAAAAAATCATAAAAAAGGAAATATTGACTGCATAAATTTCCCCTTGGTGGAAGAATCTCATCACTTGATGAGAAAGTTTCAGTAATGAGCCGATAGATATCAGGATAAAGAATCTACAGCTTTTTATCTTCAACCTAAGAAAAATCAACTTCTTTTGACCAATTTTTTCTTCTCATTCTATCTATTTCTTCTCTTCACAGTTTCCCTTCCACTTGTATATTTCTTCTCCAAATATTATAAGTGTAAGGTGATGTTGTGCCCCGTTTGTTGGTATTTGCCGGAGTGCCGACATGAGCTGGATCCTAATTTCTATGGTTAACCATTGGTTTGATTTTTCCTTTGATCATCATTCTCTATTTTCGTGATTTCCATGTGAGGTGATCTTGCAAGGTTGTTCTGAGAGTATTTTAATTCAGTTATTTGGTTATTTTGTGTGCCTTCTTATCAATTTTTTAAGTTTTGTTTCTTACTTAGTTTCTAATATTTGTGTATGTTTATGTTATATTAAAAGGGAGTGTTGTCAATTGCATTCTTAGTGTTCTCCAACTTGTTTTAGAACCTAGATTGCATCACTTCTTCTTATTAGCAATGAATTGTAAGGCTTTACAAGGTGGGGAGGCTACTCCGTGAGTGGGCGCTGAAAATAAATCATAGAGATTGGAAAACCAATTAGTGAGGATAGAGTTTGAACTCTAGATTCTTCCAATCATATTGGCTTTGCAGATGATGTTCATTGTGTCAAGAGAACAGAGACCCAAACTCTCTTTTTTCTTTTGGAAAGGATAGCAGCATGCTAAGATATATGCATCTTATTCCCAGAGTTGTATGAAATAAAAACTTTGAAATTAAGGAGATAATATTTTTAATGACACCTTTTGGGATGACATATATATGAAATAAGAATACTAATGTATCTTCGTTTTGATAATCTATTGAATAAAAAAGTTGTGTGTCCAACCTTGCCATCTTCATTCTTTAGATAATGACACCTAGTATGGTAGGTGACAGAAGGGTATAATTGGACTGCATTGCGCTAGCTATTTAGTCATCATTACTTAGCTCTTAAAATTTTTCAGAGGCAAAAGGGGTTTTTAGTTTAAGTAATACTATAGTGTCCAAAATGTAGCACAAAAGAAGTTTCTAGATCATTTAGTAAATAATATGTGACATGCATATATCACAAATCTGTCATACAATGGGTCCTGAAGATTTCTCCTGGGCTAATATTTTTGGGAATGAAACATCAAATAGTTTTCACGATACAATCTATGAATTATGTAATTCATATGAGGATCTCTAATAAATATTATATCTGTGATTTAGAACATCATGCAAATCATTATTTTGGCCCCACCACTAGATTAAAATCAAGAACTTAAGATGGAAGCAATTGCTAAGACTTCCCTATCTTATGGTTAAGATCAAGAGCTTAAAATGGAATTTAGGGATAAAAGACCATCATCATCCATGCATGGAAAAAGATGCTTTGACATACAAAGTATTTAAAATGTAATGGTATATAGAGCTTGAAATTTAAAAATATTAATCTTAAAACTTTGAATTTTGTAACTTAAATAATCCCTCCATATGATAATTTTTAAATTGTATTTCCCTTATATAAAATTAGTTTTAGCTTTGCATAGAAGCTATAAGGGTTGACCAATTCATTAAGGGACTCCAATTTATTATTTACTTTCCTAGTTTTTATTTTCCCCTCGTTTTTGAATTTTGAACTTTAAAACCTAATATAGTAATTTAAATGTTTGCTGGATGAATGAAAAAGGGCTTTTGCTATTTTGAGAAAAAAATTAGTAAAGTTAGGGTTGAATGTTTGGTGGACGACCTCTTTTCCTTGAGTTCTTCTTAGATGAAGATCTAGTTATGCCTGTAGTTAATTACTGAAATCTCTTCTCGTTTCTTCTACCATCATACTAACATCTTCTCATACATTCCCTTCATCTCCCAAGACTCTTCCTTAACCATATCCCTCAAACAAACCATAATCCCCTCCCATAACAATCAACCAAACAATGTCCTCCATTGACTTGGTTTTGGTCATACCTTCTCCACCATCTTCTAAACCTCTTGGATTTTCATTATGTACTCTAGATCTGATCTGTACATGTTCTCCTAACATTTTCTAGCCTTTCCAACCCCTACGGATAACTTTAAGCTCTTCCACTAACCCAATATTCTCGGACTAATCAAATCAGCCAAACAAGGTTACCTTGTACTTAATCATGTCTCTCTTCCATTCTTTGGCCTTCAAATCCCGTGGAATTTCACCAAAAATTCTTGATTAGATCTAAATTATTATTCTTGCATTCCCAAATATATCCATTTTCAAATCATTCGGCCTTAATGAACCCTAAAATTCCCAAGGAGAGCTTTAGGTTTGTCCTTGCCCTAAGTCTTTAGCTAACCCCTCCGTTTTGACAGCCCTAGTTGTTGGTTTCCTTTTTTTAATTTCCTATTGAATATCTGCATAACTCTATTTTCTCCGTTTTGTATATTATTTTTATTATAGATATGAGTAACTTCTTATAAATAAATTTCACATAAATAAATTTGCATCGGATTGATAGTCATTTGTTGTTTTATGACTAAACCAAGTACTTGACTAAATAGCTGCAAGAGGTGGCATATTTGGCTCTTGAAATCTAGATAAAGCAAATGAACTGGATGTTATGTTGATGACATAATGAATGCATCTTTTTCAGTATTGTTTATTTGTATGTTGTATGAGGGCTTATTTTAGTACAAACTTAACTAAATAGAAATGATGGAGGTGGCACTTTTTATTTTTATTTTTATGGTGGAACTTTCCATTTCTTGTGATGCTTTTAAAATACTTTTGCTAGAGCATATAGCTCCAAACAAATGCAACTGATTTTATTCTTAGATTTCTTTGATTTTTTTTTTGGGACTGTTATTGCAATGCAGCAGTTATTAAAAATAGTTGGTTTCTAGCAGCAATTGAAATTAGTTATTTTCTTTAGTAAATCATCTAATTAAATTTAATAATATTGCTTTGTTTTTGAATCTAGAGCTTGATCAGAACTATGTTTTCTTTTTCTGCCTTATTTTCTCAACTGCTATTCCAGGTTCATCATGATATGACCGCTCCTGCATCCCATTATTTCATATACACTGGCCATAATTCATACTTGACTGGCAACCAACTCAGTAGTGATTGCAGTGATGTGCCAATCATAAAAGCCCTGCAAAGAGGTGTGAGAGTGATTGAACTGGATATGTGGCCAAACTCTACGAAAGATAACATAGATATCCTTCATGGAAGGTATTGCTTCGGAATATCCTACTTCACCATTGCCTTCTTATTTGTAACTTGCATTGCCACAAATTCTTGATGAAGACCATTAATGTTTAAACTATAATTTAAAACAATCCATTTAGCTTTTCGGTTTGGTTTCAATAGATCTAAAATTGGAAATGGCCTGTTTTGTGTTTTTTTGCTGCTTTTGGACTAAAGTCAAGTGTTCTAGTTAAGTTTTAAATTAGGCGATCAGGTATTGAGGTGTTTTCTTTTTGTGAGACAAGGTGTAAGCCTCAAGGTTTTATGAGGAGCGAGCCTTCAAATAAAATCATTAAATACATAAAAAATAAAGCATTTAAAAGTAAGATTAAATAATAATATAAAATCATAAAAAATTAAATGAGCCGTCAATATTAAGAAATCTAATATAAACAAATAAAGATAAATAAAGTAAAAAACAAATAAGTAATCATGTCCTAAGATAAACTAGTTATGATTTATTTTCTTTCACTCCCATCACTTAGAGTGTCTTCATTAGAATATCATCATAGCTGATTGTTTTTTTTTATCTTGCTCACTTTCATCAACAGCCTCCCAATCTTCTTTATTATTTTCAATCTCAATGAACGTCATCTTCCCTAATCAAATAATGTTCAATTAGAATGCTATTTAAAACAGTGACTATATTGATCTTTAATAGTTTAAATTACATATATATATATATATATATATATATATATATATATTATTCCATGATGAGAGAAATCAACAATGAGATCTTCCTCATGTGATTTTGAAGGTGAAACTTCATTTTTATCCTCATCAAATCATTCTTTATCCAATGGTACATCATTATTAACCAAGGGATTTTTATCATCCTCCAAATTATTTTTTTGTTGATGATCTCGTGTTTAGTTTATTATGTTTTGTAGAGTAAAAGTAGGCTTTTATTGTTATTTTTTTTAGCCCAACATATTAAAAAATATGATCCGAACATAGGGCCTGCCCAAGTTGAATACGATTCACTATATCTAGAAAAGTTGGTACAAGTGAGGTTGTAAATGAATCTAGTTGAGCCAAGCACTACATTATTTAGGTTTATTCATTTATTTTCTTATTGAGTTAGAGTTGAGTTTGAATGTGATCCGACCTTTAAAATCTTTTTCAAACTTTTTATTTGCTTTCTTATCATGTTTGAGCTAAAATCAAGCCTAACTAATTGTATGTTTGATGGTAATAATTTAAACATATTGCCTATTTTTTATACATAATTGGATTTATATATTTAAAAAAATTATGTTTTTAAACTTGTTTGGTGAAATTTAAATAATAATAAAAATTATTTGAATTTATGTGTCTGGCTATTCTTTTAATAAAATTTCATCATCACATCTAATAATATACATAATTTTAAAACATATAAATTATAGAAAAAAATTAAATAATAACGTAGAATAAGCCATCAAATAAAAAATCAAGCCATCATTAAATGAGCAATTTATCATGTTCTTAATGAGCTATTTGTTAAACAACAAATGATCACGTTCACAAACAGAAATGAATACGAGAGTCATTGTTCAAATTTGTTTATTTATATGACGAGCTTTTAAAATTTTATTCAAATTTGTTCAATTATGTGAATAAATGAACATTATATGAATGAATATCAAGTTGTTCATCGAGTGCACTTGTTCATTTGTCACCTTAGGTATAAGGGTGGCATGCCTTCAAATAATTGGAGGGACTTTAATATAAGATGCCTCTTAGGTAATTTGAAAAGGGAAAGTTTGTGGCCACCAAGGTAGGTCTTTATGTGCGTTGGTTGTAGTTGTATGTAGGGGCAGGGGGTACAACATAAATGGAAATGGCCTCTGTATAATTCTATCTTAAGATACCTATGGCGTCATTCTCGCTGGAGACGCCTATGATGCCATGACTGTCATGACACAGATTTGACAATGACACAATTTTTGTTGCGTTGTATTTCTTTGACACAGAAACAAGAAAAGATTAAGGACTAACCAACTATGAAAACAAGAAGTAAATAGAACCTTAAACCCCAATTGAGCCAACCCTACAAGAATTTTTACAACCAAAAGCCTAGATCTTTAAACCAAATACGGAAGCAAAGTTGAAATATCGAGAAACAGAAATTACAGCACTTTAATTGATTAGCTGCAGTAATTTTGGACTTTTTCTAAGGACTTACAGGTCGGTAGTGCTTGCCATCTTCCATGAACAGGAAGGGTAGTTGGCTTGCAGCTAGTGGCTGTTAGGACTTCCTCCAGAGAACTGTGCTGGCACCTGAATAGGCTTCAACCGGATCCAAGATTGATTTCTTGATTACACGAAATCTGTCACCGTAGGAAATTAGCCAAAAAAACCCAGTAGATTTCTGTTTATAACACTAAAAATCAGCGATAACTGAAAATTATGGCCACCAGAACCTGAGAGGTTTGATTGCACTGCCTTGGGATCTTTCTTGAATATTGTTTTGGCTTTGGACAGGAAGAAATCTGTTTCCCTAGGTAGCATCTAGCATCACCAAAGAAACCGCCACTTTTCTGCTCAAGACATTTTAAAGAAGACATTTCTGCATGCTGTAGTTATCGGCTGACCTGGAGATGTCCATTGGTGGACTCTTCTTGTCGGAACGGATAGCCGAAAACCCAGTCTGTGAACAGCTGGGATGGTATCCCAGTTGTTGAGGGTTTGATCTGCTGGAAAACAGCCCAGTCTAGACTGGCCAGCAGTTTGAAGGCTGGAGACTGCTACTGTTGGCGGGGAAGACACGATAGCTGGTCGGAGAGAGCAAAGCTATGGGAGATTGTTGTTGGCAGAGTTACAAACTCCACCACATACTCTCACTTCCGTTAGTCTCAAGCTTTAGCGTAAATTCACCCTAAGAAATGGGATATCTCCCACTTCCTCTCAGATTTTTAACAAATCTAGAAAGAAATAAGAGATATTTATAGAAACCCCAAGGCCAAAAAAAGAGAAACAAATTACAACCCTACCCTTTAGAAATAATTAAAAAACATGCAAAAATCATAAAAAGAAATACAACAACAACAACAAGCCTAGGGGTGTCAATTTTGGGTCACGGGTTGGGTTCGGGTTAAACCCGAAATTGACCTGGCACTATTCGGGTTCGGGTCGACCCGACCCGTTTTTGCAAACGGGTCAACTTTATGGACCAAAACCCGACCCGCTTCGGGTTCGGGTCAACCCGACCCCACCTATTTCAGCCAAATCCCGCGCCTGCATTCAAAAATTTTGCCAAATCACGCGCGGGCAGCGGGTCACACGCGGACCACGGGGCACGGGGTGATGCGGTGACGCCGGCAATTGACGCGGTGAGTGCGCGGCTCGATGCGGTGACGGCCTAACAGGGCAACGGGGATGCGGGGTGATGCGGTGATGCCTGGTCGCCGGCGATTGACGCGGGAGAGTGTGACACGGAAGTGACAGAACTGACGACAGAGTCTCCAGACGCGACGAAACGCAGGCCTCAGGACGCGAAGCGACGCGACGTGGCCGGGGCAGCCGGGCAGGCGGTCTCGGGGCAGCCAGGGCTGGCGGGTTTATGTGTTATACTGGGTCAATTCGGGTCATTCTCGGGTTTTAAGATCAACCCGAACCCGACCCGGTTTTGTAAACGGGTCAGTTTTCCAGACCCAAATCCGACCCGCTTCGGGTTCGGGTCAACCCAAACCCGAAATTTTCGGGTCAGGTTCGGGTCGGGTTCGGGTCGGGTTTTCGGGTCGGGTCCAATATTGACAGGTCTTATCCACCATGTGGGGTCGGCTACATGAAGCCTTTTTCTCCATTGTGTCCTATTAAGGATAAAATTCTCATCTAAATCAAATAAAGAAAGGTCATTTCTAATATTTTCTAACCAAGTCTTTTTAGGTCTAACTCTATCTTTCTTAATATAAGTCAAATTTAATACATCTTCTTTCCTAATAAGGTCATTGGAAAGCCGCCGTTTTATGTGACCAAACCATCTACGACGACTCTCTCTAATCTTATCTTCCACTGGTGTTGCTCCAACTTTTTCACGTATATGCTCATTTTGTATTCAATCTTTAAGAATAAAACCACTTATCCACCTAGCATCGTCATCTCTGCAACACTTAACTTAATATTATGCTTCTCTTTTATTGGCCAATATTCTGCACCATAAAGCATTGCAGGTCTCATTATGATCTTATAAAATTTTCCCTTAAGTTTGAGAGGGACTTCTCTATGACATAACAAGCCCGATGCATTCCTCCATTTCAACCATCCAACTTGAATTCTACTAATAATATCCCCATAAATTTCACCATCACTTTGAACAATAGACCCAAGATATCTAAAACGTGTACTCTTATTAATGACTTGATCACCCAAAGTCACAATCCCCCAACTAGATCTATTATTACTAAAATTACACTCTATATATTCAGTTTTAGATCTACTCAAATGAAAACCTTTAGACTCTAAGGTTGACATCCATAATTCTAGTTTACTTTCAACTCTCCCTCTAGTTTTATCAACAAGAAGAATATCATTAGCAAAAAGCATACACCAGGGTACAATCTCTTGCAAATGTCTAGTGAGAACATCCATGGCTAAAGCAAAAGGATATGGGCTTAAGGCTGATCCTTAATGTAAATACTTGGTCAAACCAGCTTGTGTTTGAACACAAGTAACATCTCCTGCATACATATTCTTAATGACTTGAATATAAGCATTATTTAACACTTTCTTATGTAGAACTCTCCATAGCACTTCTCTTAGAACTTTATCATATGCTTTCTCTAAATCAATAAAAATCATATATAGATCCTCCTTATTCTCTCTATACTTCTCCATCAAACCTTTTAATAAATGTATAGCTTCTATAGTACACCTACCTGACATGAATCCAAATTGATTTTAAGAAACATCAGCGTCACGCCACAACCTATGCTTCATAACTCTCTCCCATAGTTTTAAAGTATGAGACATTAACTTAATTCCTTTATAATTCGCACAATCTTGTGCATCACTTTTATTCTTAAAAATAGGAATCAACACACTCATTCTTCACTCATATGACATCTTTTTAGTCTTCAAAATAATATTAAAAAGTTTAGTAAGTCAATAAATTTTTTCATCTCTTTAGCATTTCCACATCTCTATTGGAATATCATCAGGTCCAACAGCTTTTCTACACTTTATTTTCTTTAAATTTTCTTTAACTTTGATTTTATTAATACGTCGATAAAAACAAAAATCTTTATTTTCATTTATGGTGCTAAGATCACTAAAGTCAATTGTATGCTCATAATCTTCATTAAAAAAGTTTAGCAAAATATCTTATCCACCTTTCTTGAATATCCTTTTTTAATAAAAATACTTTTTGATCTTCATCCTTAATACACTTCACTTGAACTAAATTTTTACTACTTCCATCTCTTTGTTTAGCTAACTTATACATATATCTTTTGCCCTCCTTAGTGTCTAATCTATTATATAAATCATTAAAAGCTAAAATTGCAAATTACTGTCTTAGACTTCTTATGGACCTCGTTATATCTTTCCCAATTAACAGAGTTTTTACTGTTAAAATAATTTTTATAACAAATCTTTTTATTTTTTATCTTTTCTTGCACATTTTGATTCCACCATCAACTATTTTTACTATTAGAGTTTTTTCCTTTGACACTCCAAGCACGTCTTTTATAATATTCTTAATATCACTAGCTACTCATTCACATATAACATTAGCTTCCTCATGCATAAGCAAAATCTTAAGATCTAGAATCTTACTCATAAAAATATTTTTGTTAATATTCTTTAAATACCTCCATCTAATCCTAGAATGATGATTTAATATATTTTTAATATTATGCCCCTTCATCTTAAAGTCCAAAATTAATAAGCAATGTTGGGTACATAAACTTTCACTAGACATTTGTAAGAGGATGTACCTTGGTGTATGCTTTTTGCTGATGATATTCTTCTTATTGATAAGACTAGAGAGGGAGTTGAAGGTAAACTTGAATTATGGAGGTCAGCCTTAGAGTGTAAAGGTTCTAAAATTGAATATATGGAGTGTAATTTTAGTAGCAATAGACCTAGTGAGGGGATTGTGACTTTGGGCGATAAAGTCATTAATAAGAGTACTCATTTTAGATATATTGAATCTATTGTCAGTGTGATGTCGAAATAGATGAAGATATTATCAGCAGAATTCAAGTTGGATGGTTGAAGTGGAGGAATGCATCAGGTTTGTTGTGCGATAGAAAAGTCCCCCTCAAACTCAAGGGAAAATTCTATTACATGGTGGTGAGGCCTACAATGCTTTATGGTGCTAAATGTTGGCCATTAAAAGCAAAACATAATACTAAGTTAAGTGCTGCAGAGATGAGGATGCTTAGGTGGATGAGTGGCTTTACCCTTAGAGATAGGATACAAAATGAACATATATGTGAAAAGGTTGGAGTAGCTCCAGTGGAAGATAATATTAGAGAGAGTTGCCTTAGATGGTTTGATCACATTAAACGGATGCCTTTCGATGACCCGGTTAGGAAATTTGAGGTATTAGATTTTACTTATGTTATGAAAGTTAGAGGTAGACCTAAAAAGACTTGGTTAGAAAATGTTAGAAATGATATTTCTTTATTAGATTTAACTGAGAATTTGACTTTTAATAGGACACAATGTCGAAAAAGGATTCATGTGGCCGACCCCAGGTGGTGGGACAAAGGCTTGATGTTGTTGATGTTGTTGTTGTTGGGTACATAAACTTTCACTCAGAATAATTTTACAATCTTTGCAATCTAAACGATCCATTTTTCTTATAAGATCTTACTAACGTAAAAAGAAATAAATTGATAAAATCCTATGAAAAAAAAACTGTTTACAAATGGAACCTTATCATTCTTGAAAGAAGCAGCTGTGTTGTAAGGTTGTCATGGGCCTATAAACAACGATGACTATAATGCAAGCAGGATTACAGTGCATGTCTTGAAGTAGATGGTTGTAACCATATAATGTTGTGACATACTTGCAAGTAGTTATGATTACATCTTAAATGGGTTTGCATCATAGTTCTTGAAAGAGATGGCTATATTCAAGCAAGATTTTGGCATAGGTCTAGATGTAGTATGAGCAAGGTTGTGGCATAGGTTCCAAGGAGATGAGCGTTTGAAAAGTGAAGTTTTGATGTGGGTATGGTTGTGACAATAATTATGACACAAGCAAGGTTCGAACGTTGGTCTTGAAGAAGATGGTTGCAGTACCATGGTTGCAACACAAGTTTGTAGGCGGCACATGTGATATAGCACATGAATTGAATGAGAAATTTGAAAGACAGACAAGGTTGCAGCTTGGTTTAGATGCAACAGAAGCATCATGATGTGCAAGTTTGAAGAAGATGCATGCGATGCAATTAAGGTTACGACATGGGTTTGGATGCAGTGATGACTACATATATGAGATTGTAGCATAGTTTTAAAGGAGATATTTACGACACAAGAGTTGCAACATAGGTTTGAAAATGGTGCAAGCTAGATTATGGTGCAGGTCCTTGAGGAGATAGTAGTGGCTTATAGAAGCTCTTTGAGGATTTAAGCAATCTTCAAAACTTTAGAATTCTCTAAGGATCCATGTTGTTATTCATGCTCTAGAAATTTTAAAGATCTGTAGGATGCTTCCCAATTCAGATTGCCACAAAGAAATAGAATTAAATAATTAGTGCATATTTATAGATTTTGCGAAGAGTTCATTATTATTTGTAGTATGTCAAAGTATTCCTATTAGATTTTGACAATGAATGGTGAACATTGTTTCTTTTACATGATGATTCTACCCTTCGGTTGGTCTAATCAACCCATTAAGGTCGGGGCCTAGCTGAGTGGCTAGCGACAGTTGTTACCAGTGATGTCTTCGGTTATCAGTTTGAACATACCATCTTGTGGAACTTTATGCCATGAATCCAATGAAGATTATTTTTAAATTTCAATGATCTTATGACGAAAATAATTTTGATAAGATTTATTATTTAAATTTGGGGTTGCCAAAAAAGGTAATTTATCGAAATATTAATCTTTTTGGAAAAACTCATTTGTCATAAGTGGCTTTTAAAATAGTGTTTTGTAGAGATTGAAGAATACTTGGTAAATCAGTAGATTACATAATAAAATTTTTTTTAATCATCAAATAACTAATGATACAAATCTAACACTTGATAGACACTAAGACTCATGTGGTCTGCAAACAAATCCCTTTCTCCTAGCATTTTGTCGGTTAATGTTTGTAATAAACAGTTCCCGTAAATAATTCCCTTCTCTTACTGATTAACTTTTTCAACAATTATTTTTACCTTCACAGTAAGCATTCAGCACAATTATCATGTTTTTTAATTAATAAAACTATCTGAGTTTAAAATGATATTATCTTTTTTCTGTTTTCTTTTAGGTTCCGTTTTAGACATTTATTTTTCTCTTTGTTATCTCTTCATAATAATTTTCTCTTTGACTTTTTTGTTTCCCTTATGAAGGACGCTAACTTCCCCTGTTGATCTGCTTAAATGTTTGAAGTCCATTAAAGAATATGCCTTTGTTGCATCACCATACCCAGTTGTTATAACCTTAGAGGACCACCTTACTCCTGATCTCCAGGCTAAAGTTGCTGAGGTGAATTTAATTTCTAAATAAATTTTGATGGGCAGTTTTCTACCTAACTTTCTTCCTGTTAAGTGATTATCTTTTATTTTTGTGTTTTCTAGATGGTCATTGAAACATTTGGAGATATGCTGTATTACCCCAGCTCAGAGACTGTTGCAGAATTTCCTTCACCTGAATCTCTAAAGAAGAGGATTATTCTTTCAACCAAACCTCCTAAAGAGTATCTTGAAGCTAAGAGCTCTAAGGAGGAGAATGAATCTCAAAATGGGAAGATATCTAATGAGGAAGAAGAGTGGGGGAAGGAAGTCCCAGATCTGAACGCTCAAATTGAATCTTATGAGGTGTGGTATCACATTGATGAATTTCTGCGAGTTATTTGATTTCAACTCACACCTAAAAATATCCTTTATTATAGCATGAGGATGGCAAAAGTGATGATGATGAAGAAGATGATGATGACGAAGATGATGATGATGAACTAAAAAAGAACCATGCTCCATCGCTAGAGTATAAACATTTGATAACTATTAAGGCTGGGAAACCTAAGGGTTCCTTAAAAGATGCACTAAGGGTGGATCCTGATAAAGTTAGGCGTGTAAGTTTGAGTGAACAACAACTTGTAAAGGCAGCTGCATCTCTTGGGGAGGACCTAGTTAGGTACATTGTGTTTCTGAGATCCATTACTAAAAAAACTTTCCTTTTACTGCAATGATGAGTTTTACTAGTAGGGAAGAAGATGCATGGTTAAAGAATTAGGATGCTGAAACTCCATTGTTTTTTAAAATCTAATCTCTATTGTTCAGTTATTGTTTTTTTATCTTAATCAGATTTTCATAGAGAATAATATGGTGGAAATGAGAATGCGAAGATGGAAACACTTGTAGAAGATAAGTAAAAAAAAAGACAAAAAAGATTTGGTTCTTTATGATAGAGTACGGAAGATGCACTTGTAAGGTGAATTGACAGAATTAATATCTGAAAATTAGGTTGAAGAATACCGAAGGTAAAATGACTAGAAATTGTGTAAAAAAACACAAAATAGATATACCATCCCATATAGCTCTCAATAGGAATAAGTGGAGAAGGAAGATTTAAACAACTGACCCTAATTGTTGGGATAAGGCTAATGATGATGAATATTATGGTATTAATTAGTTTTACATGTACAGTATATATATTCATCTTATCTTTTTTCATCCTTCTAGATATTAAAGCTTGTCCAAAACATGTGTACACATGGTTGATATTTATGATGTTTATTTTCTAGGTTCACTCAAAAAAATATACTCAGAATTTATCCAAAGGGCACACGTGTTAGGTCATCTAATTACAATCCTATGATTGGTTGGGTGCATGGTGCTCAGATGGTTGCCTTCAACATGCAGGTCAGCTTCTATGATTGCTTTGCAGGTTGAAAAACCTTCTGACAAAATCTTGATTTGTTTTGAACTCTATGTTTTACTCACGAATTTTCTTTTCTATGTTATCGAATATTCTCTGAGGAAGTTTGTGATAAAGCAATGTGTGTTGTTGAAGTTATCTTAGGCGTTTGTAACTTCAGCATTAATAACTCTCACTTATATATATCCAGCAAATTTTCCTCTGCCGTTATGTACGGGCTGGATTATGACTAAACATTATTATTTAGGATTCATCAAGTACAGTTGCATGTCCATCCTGATTAGCTATGGCATACTTTGAATATTTTATCTGATGAAGCCATTAAAAAATTCTTCTATATACAAAGTTACAGTGCATTAGTTGATCTAAATACTGCAAAATCTTTTATTTTCACGAAAATTTCTTTTAGAAAACTGAATATCAAATCTCAAAGTGTTTTTCTGCAAATTATCGTACTTCATGAGTTCCAACAATAACTCGTTCAGAAATTTTTTTTTTGGCTGCATAGGTGGAATCATACCAGTTATTTGGTAATAATATTGAAGATTTTCTTGTTTAGGTTTTTTAGTGCTAAGCCACTAAAAAATTCAGTCACTTATTTTTTACAAAGTCCAGTTACTTATTAGTTATTACACATCTAAAATGTGAATTTTATTAGCTTGTCACTTGAATCATCTCCTTCTGACCAAACTCTATTCTCAAACCTTATTTTACCTTCAAGTTACTTGTGGTTGGGCTAATCAAACCATGGGCATGTCAGTTGCATCCATTTCCATTTACAATAAAAGACAGACTTCTGATTTCCTCTTGATGCCTCCATTGCCGGAGATGGGGTGTCAGAGATCAGGATAAGTTAGATTGAATGGAAAATTTCTGAAAACCTCAACTTGTATTAACCCATAGTTTTAAGTAGCAGCACATGGCTACGGAGTTATATGTTTAACATATTTATAGGGAAACATAAGTTCGAGAAATTTTATGTAATTAAAAAGAGTACTATGTGTGGGAGAATATGTAGAGACAATGATAAATTTTAATTAGTTATTTTATGTGGATGCTTGGTGGCTAACCAAGAAATCATTGATAGACCGTATCATAGAAATAAAAATGTTAAAGATGAATGCGGAGTTGAAACAGGAAGGATGATGATGCAAATTTGTAAGTATATAATCATTGGAAACACTAATCGTTTTTAGAGTTAAGCACATTAAAATTCTGAAATTTAACATTACTTAGTCGTCTTATTTTCTATTAATTATTCATTTTTTAAATAACATGCCTTTGATAATAGTGTCAATGAGAACGAAATATGATGTCTAATGCTTTGATTAGCTTGATGAGTATTGTTTACTATTATAAGTTCTTTTGATTCAGCTCTTGTAGGATTGCTTAGTTCTGCTACTTTTGGGTCTTTGTTTCATCACATGTTCCAATCCTCTGCTTCAACATATTATTATTTTATAGCTTTTGAATCCTAGTGAAATGTTATCCTCTACTTGTCTTCTCTCTTATTCGGATCTTGTTGTATCCCTTTTTTTCTTTTCTGCTGCAGCTAGGCTCAGTACTTGCACCATAACTGGAAGTTGGTTGCCACTAATCCTCTGTTTAACATGCATGTTGGGTTCTTTCTATATGCAGTGTTTCCTTGGATAGTTGGGATTCGATAACTGGGCATTGGTTGATTTGTTTCCTTTTAGGTTGTGCATTGTAGCAAAGATAAATCCTGCTTGTTTCTTTCTCTTCTCAACTTTCTTACTTTTGCTGAGTTCATCCCTTGGATGCTTCCCTTTTATGTGCAATGTGTCAGATTTGAACTTGTTTTTTCAGTTGCTACCTGAATCAGGCATTGGATTTTACGATCCAATTTTGAGAATTTTGAGAAAATTATCTATTGTTATCGTTTTAGGTTATAAAATACAATCCTTGAGGTATGCAAATTTCAATATTTGATGCAATTACAGATTTTCTCAACTTATGTATATGCTGTTCGATGTGAATTCTTTAAATACATCATAGACGTTGGCGACAATTTTTGAGAGAAGCTACTCCATATATGTGACGCATGGATTTTTATTTGGTGATTTCTATTTTTATTCTTTTTTTCATCTGTCTACTTTTTATTTGGTTTTTATGTGCCTTATTGAAATTTTATAAGAACGGTACAATTTGGTTTTTCCTTCAGTATAAGTCTAGACCGCTGCATTGTTTTTATTAGTTCTTAGGTTTCTTCTGTGCATATCAAGTTTTAGAAATCTTTAGATCATTTGATGAGAGTTCTATTTATTTTTGTTTTACATCAAAAGTGGAAAAATTTTATCCCTACTACGATTTTTTATCTTTGATGTATTTTCAAGATGACTATCATGTTCATTATTATATTCCCACAGTTGACGGGATTTATGACATCGAGGAACTTTTACAATGGATTGATAATTTAGAAAATTTTATTTAACATTATTATGTTCTTGATTTTGAAATACTCTAAGTTACTGAAATAAAATTAGTGGGACATCTCAATTGTTTTGGCGAAGTGTCTAAAGTGAAATAAAAGCAACATGATCGGCATGAGAAATAAACTTAAAGAGCAATATGTTAGGCGGGCCCCTCCGGTCCTTACTTACTCTAGGCGGGCCCCACATGGAGTTAATTCAAGGGTTGGAGGGAAAATTTGAATGGAAAGGGGGGGGTTATATCGTTATTAGTAAAATGAAGTTTGGTGCTTAAAGAAATGATGTGAAAAACAGTTGGTGATGCATTCTAAATAGAGGTGGTGAAAATGCTTCAAGAGATCAAAGGAATTTCTTATGCTTAATTTTTTTAAATATTATTTAAAGACTAAAAAATATGTCAATGAGTAGATAAGAGTAATATTGGTTCAATATTTTTAAGAATAAATTGATGCACAGAGTGTGTGCAAATTAGAAGAAAGTTAAGCTATTTTTGTCATACAAAAAACACTTGGGAGAGAGTAATTTGAGGCATAGGTTTCAACATAATACTATATTTCCTCAAATCATTTGGATTCATGTCGAGCAGGTTTACTATGGAAGTCTATACTATTTTATTGAAGGTTTTGAACATGGAGAATAAGAGAATTAAAACAAAATCTAAATATATATTTATTGATTTAGAAAAGTCATATGATAGTCCTTAAGAGAATATGCTTCTGGAGAGTTCTAGAAAGTAAGAGTTCAATTAATACTTATATTCAATCATTAAGAATATGCATGCAAGAAACTATTACTGTGTGTTCAAATACAGGTTGTTATTGACCAAGTATTTCTGTTTTCAAGTTGGATTACCATCAAGAATCAATATTAAGCCCATATCTTATTTGCTTTAGTCAATGGGTGTTCTTACTAACCTTTGCAAGAAGATGTACCCATAAGTGTATGCTTTTATATGAATGATAAATGCTTATTGCGGAATTGGCGTGACCTTTTAATTGGGTTTTAGTGTGTTGGTGGTTTTGTTTTAAGGTCCAAATTGTGGTTGGCCTCCAATGGAGAGTCATTACTTGGCCTGGGGTGGTGTGAAAGTGTGCCTCATACCTGAGTCCCAATGGGCACTTTCGGTCCTTTTCTCATTTTTGCCTTCTTCCCTTTTGAGGTTGCTTCTCTATAATGAATGGTTTTGGCTTAAGTACCGCCACTGTTTCCGTGGGGTCATGGTTTGTATCTTCTTGTTATGAATGAACAGAAGTTTAATTTGTTAAAAAAAAAATGCTCTTGTTTGATTAAGACTAGAGAGGAGTTGAGGAAATTTGAATTATGGAGGTCAACAGTGGGACCATCTAAAGGTTTTCATGGTAAGTAGATTCAATAACCAAATACATGGAGTATAATTTTAAATTAGTAAGTAATAGATCTTAGTGGGGGATTGTGATTTTGGGCGATCTAAGTAAATTAAAAAGTGGATCATGTTTTGATGTTTCGGGTCCTATGTTTAAAGTGATGGTCAGACAAATGAGGAATAAGTTATTGTATAATAATCAAAGTTGGATGGTTGAAGTGGAGTAATGCATGGACCTAGTTCCGTGTATGATTGAAAAGTATCCCTTAAATTTAAGGAAAAAGTTCTATAAGAAGGTGGTGAGGCTTGCAATGCTTCCATGGCATATATAATGTTGCCATTGAAAAGAGAAGGCCTATACAAATTAAGCATTATACGAGATAAAGAATGCTCAGGTAGAATAGTGGCTATATACTGAGAGAGATGAATATCCACAAACAATATATCACAATGAAAAAGTTGGAGTATCTCAAATGGAAATAAGTTAGGAATCTTCCTTTAGATGGTTGGAAATGTCAACTTCCGATAACCTAGTTAGCGAAGTAGATGTTATTAGCTTTAGCACTAATGGTTAAGAAAATGTAGGTAGAGCTAAAAAGATTTGGTTGACAAGTACTGGAAAATGATATTTTTTTTATTTAAGATTTAAAATGAGGAAATTGACTTTTTAATAGGACAACAATGAAGAAAAAAAGGATTTATGTTGCAAACACCCATATACGCTGTGAAATAAAGGCTAGAAATGTTGTTTTTTGTAAAGTTGTATTTTAGGGAGCTTCTACTAAAAGCTTTGGTTTCAGAGTCAAAATAGATTCAATTTCTCCAGGAAATTTCAATTGTTAATGTGATTACATTTCAATTCCCATTTTAGACGCATTTTTATTTTAATTGTAAGTACAGGCAATAATTTATGAATAAAGGTCTAACGTATGCATAGATTCAAAGATCAAAATCAAAATATATATTCAAATTTGTAATACCAAAACTATTTTACTGCATATCTAAATTTATCAGTCAAAAGAATATTCACAACTCACAAATTTTTTTTTATAAAAATCCGGTTTTGCTCCAAGACCTTGTTTGCGAACCATCTATATGTTGGATAGGCTTTATAGGACGAGGGTTAAGGGATTTCTTTACGAGACATTAATTATAGGTATAGATTCGCTAAATATTATAATCATAATATGCC